GAAATATGTTGTCACCTTGGTTAAATTGGTGGTAAGTTTGGACATTTTTCTCCTCAAGGTCAGAATCTCAAACCACTTTTCTTGGGGTTCCTAATTTTTCTTGTTTTTAATGTTTCACTTATTCGTAAAACCTTTATAATGAAACAAATCCAAAATGTATAACTTCAGAATGCCAGAAAATGAGTTTCTGATACAGATACAGTAAGCGGCCACTATAAGGCTCTGGCCCAGTAGCACCGTGAGGAGTGGTGTATCATGCTTTACGTGGCAATGTGGATGTGGTCTGGCAGATGTCAGGTTTATTGTATAGGAGGACTTATGGTCTGGCTGGTTCTTCTGGTTTAGAATGGGTCTCTTAATCTAATCTAATTTTAATCTTAATCTTAATCATAATGCTACAGCATAAAATGTATGCCTTTCTGGCATCAGTTTAGAGAAATAAATCAATATTAATATTGCATTATATTTAAATTGCATGCATGTGATGGGATTATGAGCATTTATTGTATTTGGTTTGGAAGCTGACGAAAGCTATGGCTAATTTAATCATTGTCAACATTTTGGCTCTTTCTTTCTGGCAATTAACATTTAAAATCTGTTTATATTTCCCCAGAACTCCAGGATGCTGTGTGTGAATGATGAACTGTTCATTAAGCCTATCGGGTCTTCCAGCGCTTTGGTCACCGTGATTCTCCTTCTACTGGCTGAATGTAGAGGTAACTTACACAAACATCAGCACCAGGTGAAGCAGTACAGTATAAAAAAAGTCCTTCTTTTACTTAAAATACCACTTATCACAGTCAGCAGTAATTCTGTACACAAGTTCTGATTGTAGGATTTCACAATCTGTGTCTTTCCAGGCCAGTCTCTGGGGGTTGGACCAGCTCAAACAATAGTGACTTTACTTGGTGAAGACGTCACCTTGCCATGCCACCTGGAACCTGCAGCTGATGTTTTTTCCAAGAGTGTGGAGTGGGGGAGACCTGAGCTGGAACCCAGATTTGTCCACATGTGGCATGAAGGTAAAAACTTTCTGGTCAACCAAAACCCGTCTTACAAAGGAAGAACATCGCTGTCCATTGAGAATCTGAGGCAGGGAGACCTTTAACTGAAACTCTCTGCAGTGAAACTCTCCGATAAAGGAATGTACAGATGCTACTTTCCCTCAACTCCCTCGTTGGTGAGTGGTCTATCTTTTATGTGCATATTTTCAGAAAGTTTAAAAGTGAAGTGCACAGTTTCTCTGTATCTGGCAGAGCATCATGCTGCTGCGGTAGATAGCCTCCCTCTCCTTGTTTCTGTTCAGGTCCAACACATTTCAGATCAGGTCTAATTTCTAGTTCACTAGCTTTTGAAACAAACTACTTCATGCATTTTAGATTTCAGTTTTAGTGTGAATACTTCTAATACAATATCATCAACTGGAGTATTGGTCAGCTTTTCAACAGTTACATATTTAACCAGGAGAGGGCATCTTACATCTATTTTATCCACCAAAATAGCATTTACATGTGCATTGTTTTTTTAATATGATGTTTACATGGAACATTAAAATACATAACCTGACCAGCTGCATGCAGGTGTGTCTTGGTTACAGAAATCTGGATAAGGTGTTTACATGTGCAAAATATAACCAGGATACTTCAAACATCCGGTCTAACCAGGACAACAGTGTACATATAAATCACTCTATTTTAATGGTAGACTTGTCCCTGTATATAAATGTGTGCAATGTATGTTTTTCAAAATGTCTCCTCTCTGCCATCACCAGGTTCTGTCTCCTCACCGGTCATTGCAGGGATGAAACTAAACAGCAGCAGCATGGTTCTACAGTGTGAGTCTAAAGGCTGGTATCCAGAGCCTGAGGTGGTCTGGCTGGACGGTGAGGGAAACCTCCTCTCTGCTGGACCTACAGAGACAGTCAGAGGTCCTGATGACCTCTATACTGTCAGCAGCAGAGTGACTGTGGAGAAGAGACACAGCAACAGCTTCACCTGTAGAGTCCAACAGAAGAACATCAACCAGACCAGAGAGATAGAGATCCAGGTTTCAGGTGGGTTTTTACTCTCTAATATCCTAATTTTCTCAGCCTTGAACAGAAGAGTTTTGGTTTTATATGACTATTATTCTGTTGCTGTTTTCCAATTTCAGCTGATTACTTTGTGGATACATCTTCTTCTGCTGCTGCTCGTATCGGCATTATAGTGGTTGCTGTTCTCGTTTTTATTCTTGCAGCTGCCTTTGTTTTGTGGAAATGGAGAAAAAACCAAACCAAAGGTTAGTACTGTTAGTGACTGTGATTGGAACAAACTAGAGTTAGAGTTCTGTGGGTATATCAGCCCAGAGTAAAACAATGTTATTAAGTGTAGTTTAAGAAAATTAATTTTAAACTAAATTCGACATACTTCCCTGTTATATTCATACACTGAAAACAGAGAGAGAGCGGCTCATGACAGTCAATGAGCAACTGGAGGAGATTCAGAGGAGCAATGTGTTTTCAATAACGACTGCTTTTTACTGTAATACTGTGATTTATAACTATTGTGATTATTGTGCCCAAAAGTGAGACATTTTCTTAATTTCCTGATGCAGTCTGTGGAATTGTTTTATATTCCATATCTGCTGATCTATCTGTTGATCTCTGGACTGTGTATATTTGTGTATTTTACAGTGTCTGTCACTGATATCTGATATAAATGTATTTCAGTCAGACAACTCTTGTTTGAAATGTTTATTGCGGTAGGTCAACATAGTAAGACTCACTGCCTGCAGACATGTGTCCATCGAGATATTGGGGAGTGATGAGCAAATACCTTAAACCCCCCACTCGAAACCTGCAGGTGGATGCTGGGAATAGTGGTGGGGTTTACAGAACAGACAACACTGATGCAGGGCAGCAGCAACATTGATGGAGCAGAGGGAGAGCTGGGAAATTTAGCAGCTTAAATAGGCCGTCAAATGGGAAGTGTGTGTTTATGATTAGAGTGAGAGAGAGTGAGGCATGACGTGTGTATAGCCCTGCAGCTCGCAGGCGTCACTCTGTTTTATGTCCTTTTCTTGGATGTGAGGTCGACTTTCTTTGTGAAACATGGAAGAAATGTCCAGAAACAGGACAGAATAAACTTCAAAATGAATGCTAACACATGTCTGTCTCTTTGGTGCTCCTCCTTTATTCTGCAGCAGTGGAAACAACCAGCAGTTGTTTGCATTAAACCACATGACCATAGTTCTCTGTGTGGGAACTACCTCTGCTAAAACAAACCCACAGTGTTTTATCACAGAGCTGTGGAGACAGTGTGGTTATTCTGCACAGGGTTAGCTAGGGTTAAACACAATTAAATAAAGTATGATGTTTGATGAGACAGGGCATAGACAGATACATGGTTTAAAAACACTACAGATATCTTGACCTGTATTCACCTCTTGAGAAACTTCATCTCATCATGAACAGTTGTCAAAGCAAATGAAAGAATCTACTAATAGGCATCACAAAAATAAGAAAAGTTGAATTAGTTCAATAAGACAAATAGGAAATACAATATCGTCATACACACAAGCCAAAAGATAAAAAATCTTAATAATAATAAGTGATTTACTGTGCAAAACAGATTTATAAAATGATATCATATATTTAAAGAAGTCCTTCATCAAACACTGGATAGATGAGTTTACTGCCATTTTTATAGAAGTAAACTGAGATGTTAGAAGTCACAACATCACCCTACATCACAGGAAGGAAAGGAGTCTCCATTGCACTACAGAACCAGCTTTGAATTGTGACTATTATACATTTACAACCAAAGTGATCACCAGTTTCACAAAGACATAAACCAGTGTACCAAGTTGATGGTCAATATATCCATATTATCATTTTATCAGTTACACCCTGATGCTTTTCTAGAGGAGCTTTTTATTTGGTCCACATGATTTGATATTTACAGACTCTACCCACTGATGAGGATTGTTTAATACCATGTTCACATCCTGTGTGATAGATAGTGGAGATGTAAGGACAGTATTTATCTTACTGTGCAGCCAAATAAACTTTAGCTTGAGTCTGATGGCATTTAACAACACACTTCGGCCGACTTTGAGAATCACACTTTACTAGTTGTATTTATGACTCTGACGTGAACACTGTTTAAAAATTAGAAACTGGTAAATGTCGCAACTTTGATGTATGAACGTTACGCGTGTACATCTATAGCTGTGTCTGCTTCAGGTCCAACTGCTCGAACAGTGCTGTTAGCTGACCACAGCGAGTTTATTTTAAACCCACAGCAGCTCTATTTTCATGTTGCTTCAGACATGTGAACAGACATATGCAACAATGTGGTTTAACTGCTGATGAACCACTCGCTCTTAAAAATAGATCCTGGTGCTGCACGTTAGCAAAAGCCATCAGATGAAGGTTAATAATAAAAAACAAAATCATCTAACTGGGCTTCTATATTTCATCTTTTTATCGACTGACCCTAACAACAACAACTTTCTTATTATATAAAAATTATATTGACTTTATTAGACACAAAAAGGTCCATAGCGCACTAAACTGTGAAGGTGCTAAGAAATGTGGTCTTTATGTTTACTCCTCTTTGACTGATTTTTCTGTGAATGGTTGTTGAACATTAATAAGAGTTTACTGTAATATATTTGGTCTTACTTCCTCTATTACATGTGTAAACAGAGTGCATCTGTATGCTCCACCCTAGGCAGATGTTTCTCCTGTCAGTAACCTGTAAGACACAAAACATTCCAATTAAACTTTGCTCAAGAGTCATCATGAGACATACCCATATATAGCTGTGTATTATCAGCGGCTATAGAGAGATGGTAGTCTTCTTCTTTTACAGGTACACCAGTAACATGCAGACCAGAAATCAAACCATTATTAAAACAGGTTGTTGATATTGTATTTTAAAATGAAAGATTCTGTTCAATGATAAAAAAAAAAAAAAAAAAAAACTTTTCACAGTGTGAAGCATCCTAAATTAGGTTATATTTGATATAGCTACAACAAATTATGGCCTATCCACATCCAGCAGACACAGAACAACATTATCATCACAGGGAAGGGTTGCAATGGTCCAATGTGTGCTCTGGTTTGGCCTCCACCACCTCTGGAGGGAAATATTTGCAATTGTTCTGCATTACCCACAATCAAACATATCAACTTACATTGGACTGTAGAATAGATGGCAACATTGTCTCTTAAATTAGGTCTGACTCCTGCTGAAGATGTTTGTCTTGCTGAGCAGCTGGATGATCCTGGATCTGCTAGTATAAAAACCAAAACATGAATTCAGTCAATTACCTATCAGATGAATTTGTTTTTCAGGTATCAGCATTTTCCTAATTTCCTGATGTAGTCTGTAGAATTGTTTTATATTCCATATCTGCTGATCTATCTGTTGATCTCTGGACTGTGTATATTTGTGTATTTTACAGTGTCTGTCACTGATATCTGATATAAATGTATTTCAGTCAGACAACTCTTGTTTGAAATGTTTATTGCGGTAGGTCAACATAGTAAGACTCACTGCCTGCAGACATGTGTCCATCGAGATATTGGGGAGTGATGAGCAAATACCTTAAACCCCCCACTCGAAACCTGCAGGTGGATGCTGGGAATAGTGGTGGGGTTTAAAGAACAGACAACACTGATGCAGGGCAGCAGCAGCATTGATGGAGCAGAGGGAGAGCTGGGAAATTTAGCAGCGTTAATAGGCCGTCAAATGGGAAGTGTGTGTTTGTGATTAGAGTGAGAGAGAGTGAGGCATGACGTGTGTATAGCCCTGCAGCTCGCAGGCGTCACTCTGTTTTATGTCCTTTTCTTGGGTGGGAGGTCGACTTTCTTTGTGAAACATGGAAGAAATGTCCAGAAACAGGACAGAATAAACTTCAAAATGAATGCTAACACATGTCTGTCTCTTTGGTGCTCCTCCTTTATTCTGCAGCAGTGGAAAGAACCAGCAGTTGTTTGCATTAAACCACATGACCATAGTTCTCTGTGTGGGAACTACCTCTGCTAAAACAAACCCACAGTGTCTTATCACAGAGCTGTGGAGACAGTGTGGTTATTCTGCACAGGGTTAGCCAGGGTTAAACACAATTAAATAAAGTATGATGTTTGATGAGACAGGGCATAGATAGATACATGGTTTAAAAACACTACAGATATCTTGACCTGTTTTCACCTCTTGAGAAACTTCATCTCATCATGAACAGTTGTCAAAGCAAATGAAAGAATCTACTAATAGGCATCACAAAAATAAGAAAAGTTGAATTAGTTCAATAAGACAAATAGGAAATACAATATTGTCATACACACAAGCCAAAAGATAAAAAACCTTAATAATAATAAGTGATTTACTGTGCAAAACAGATTTATAAAATGATATCATATATTTAAAGAAGTCCTTCATCAAACACTGGATAGATGAGTTTACTGCCATTTTTATAGAAGTAAACTGAGATGTTAGAAGTCACAACATCACCCTACATCACAGGAAGGAAAGGAGTCTCCATTGCACTACAGAACCAGCTTTGAATTGTGACTATTATCCATTTACAACCAAAGTGATCACCAGTTTCACAAAGACATAAACCAGTGTACCAAGTTGATGGTCAATATATCCATATTATCATTTTATCAGTTACACCCTGATGCTTTTCTAGAGGAGCTTTTTATTTAGTCCACATGATTTGATATTTACAGACTACCCACTGATGAGGATTGTTTAATACCATGTTCACATCCTGTGTGATAGATAGTGGAGATGTAAGGGACAGTATTTATCTTACTGTGCAGCCAAATAAACTTTAGCTTGAGTCTGATGGCATTTAACAACACACTTCGGCCGACTTTGAGAATCACACTTTACTAGTTGTATTTATGACTCTGACGTGAACACTGTTTAAAAATTAGAAACTGGTAACTGCCACAACTTTGATATATGAACGTTACGCGTGTACATCTATAGCTGTGTCTGCTTCAGGTCCAACTGCTCGAACAGCAGAGTGCTGTTAGCTGACCACAGCGAGTGTATTTTAAAGCCACAGCAGCTCTATTTTCATGTTGCTTCAGACATGTGAACAGACATATGCAACAATGTGGTTTAACTGCTGATGAACCACTCGCTCTTAAAAATAGATCCTGGTGCTGCACGTTAGCAAAAGCCATCAGATGAAGGTTTATAATAAAAAATAAAATCATCTAACTGGGCTTCTATATTTCATCTTTTTATCGACTGACCCTAACAACAACAACTAACTTATTATATAAAAATTAAATTGACTTTATTAGACACAAAAAGGTCCATAGCGCACTAAACTGTGAAGGTGCTAAGAAATGTGGTCTTTATGTTTACTCCTCTTTGACTGATTTTTCTGTGAATGGTTGTTGAACATCAATAAGAGTTTACTGTAATATATTTGGTCTTACTTCCTCTATTACATGTGTAAACAGAGTGCATCTGTATGCTCCACCCTAGGCAGATGTTTCTCCTGTCAGTAACCTGTAAGACACAAAACATTCCAATTAAACTTTGCTCAAGAGTCATCATGAGACATACCCATATATAGCTGTGTATTATCAGTGGCTACAGAGAGATGGTAATCTTCTTCTTTTACAGGTACACCAGTACTATGCAGACTAGAAATCAAACCATTATTAAAACAGGTTGTTGATATTGTATTTTAAAATGAAAGATTCTGTTCAATGATAAAAAAAAAAAAAAAAAAAAAAAAACTTTTCACAGTGAAGCATCCTAAATTAGGTTATATTTGATATAGCTACAACAAATTATGGCCTATCCACATCCAGCAGACACAGAACAACATTATCATCACAGGGAAGGGTTGCAATGGTCCAATGTGTGCTCTGGTTTGGCCTCCACCACCTCTGGAGGGAAATATTTGCAATTGTTCTGCATTACCCACAATCAAACATATCAACTTACATTGGACTGTAGAATAGATGGCAACATTGTCTCTTAAATTAGGTCTGACTCCTGCTGAAGATGTTTGTCTTGCTGAGCAGCTGGATGATCCTGGATCTGCTAGTATAAAAACCAAAACATGAATTCAGTCAATTACCTATCAGATGAATTTGTTTTATAGTCTTATGAGAATCTGACATGTGGAGTGCCACAGGGCTTAATTGTATGGCCTGTTTTCTTTTCTGTACATGAACATGAGTTAATTTATAGCTCCAGTTTATTTATAAACAAATTTATATCCAGACAAATTCAACACCCGAAACCAAATGCTAGTAAACGCCAACAATGTTATACATACTTAATAATAATCTTACCTATTTTCTTTCGATGTTTTGTAACAACAGCATATGTCACCATGTTCGGATCAGCAACACTTCCCTCCCCAGGGACTGAATCATAAATGCAAATAAAAGCAAAACTATAATTCTGAATGTGTCTGTGCAATATAATCAGTTTATAATCATGCAGACTAAAACATATTGCAAAAAAAATATTTGAGCAAATTATTTGCTTCTTTAAAGTAAAATAATATTTATAAATTAAAATTAAATATTATTCTGTATGAAGCCACTTTTAATAAATTTCATATGTCAAGATATATTATGTTATTCAAATTGCAAAAAACGATACATACAGTATTGTATAGACTCACCTGAATCTGTTCCTGGTGTTGTTGCCTCCGAAGAAAAGCAGCCCACTACAATACAAAAAACCCCCAAAACAAACAAAAAGTTATAATAATAATAACAAATCATGAAATAAGTACAACAACAATAAGTTAAAAAGCATGACAGTAGCTCAAGGTTTTAGCATAGTTTTAGCTTCAGGGTGAATAGCTGCACTGTTAATTTCATGACGGTGCAGCCTGGTGTTTATTTGGGGCACATTTTGGCATGATTTGATTTAATCAAATGTCTTGCTTCTGTGTGTGTGTGTGTGTGTGTGTGTGTGTGTGTGTGTGTGTGTGTGTGCAAATTCAATACATATATAAAATAAAAAAGAAGATGTGAAAATGCAAAGCCATCATGGCTGAACTGGCACAGAACAGAACTGTATTACAGAGACTTTCATACATATACAAACAAAAAATATTTTTTACCTTCTTTTCTACGACAGTGAATTAATCCCACCACCAACAGCAATAGGGCCAAACACAAAATGGTGAAACCGACTGATAAAATGATGAAGAGATGAGGGGAGCCGTTGCTTGAAGATGTCTCTGGACTCTCTTGACTCTCTTCAGGTGATAGAGTAATATGTGCTGTAACATCATTACACAAGATGGTGTGGACATTTAGAAAACAGAGGTCACAAAAGGTCTACGTCAGTCTGTGAACTATACCATGGCTTTTGGGGGAGCTAACTTTCGATTTTAATGTTTGGGGCACTTGCATTTGCTTCACAGAACTGACTGTGACTATGCTGACTACAAAACAGAGAAATGGATAATTGATAAATGAATAATCCCATTGAGAATTTAAAAAGTATATCTTCTTCTATTGGTGATTTGGCACTCAGTGTCATTTAATAGTTTTGTTTTTTCTGAATTGATGTGTGATAAATAATGGTCTAATATTATGCATGATTCATGATATGAAAATACAGAAACACAGAAATGCACGGCACAAATAAGTTATTGTCAATATTGTAGAGACCCCCCAATATTTTACAAATCGTGTTTTCAGGGAAGCTCATTTCTCATTAAGAGGAGCCAAGTTTCCCTCTGGCTCCTCTGTAGTTCGCACCCTGCCTGTAAGTGCCTACTTCGGACCAACAGATCAACAATGGACAGAATCTGTCTTTTATGGGCAGGTTGCTATGAAATTTAGTGACCACATTAGTTCTTCCTATAAGGGGATGAATACTTAATATTTTAATTTTAACATCCTGAGTACCGCTATCACCGCTAAATAAAAATTATATTTACTTGTGTATCTTTTCTCACCCTGAATATCATACTCAGTTGCAAAAACAAAAGTTAGTATTACACAAGTTAATATATTTCACAACAGGCTGATATTTCACATTTTTAAAAAATCCTAAAGACAAGCCTGGTCTTTCAACAAATTAATGATTTTATTTTATTTTCTCTCACCTCTGACAGCCAGCCAGCTCTCCGCTGAGTCCCCGGCTCCAGAGATGCTGCACCTGTAGAGGCCTTCGTGAGATTCAGAAACACCATCGATGGTGAAGTTTCCTTTATATCCAGTCGCACTGAGGAGGCCATCTTTATAGAAATCAGCTGGGATGTTGGAGGCAGTCCTCTTGTTTCTGCAGTAGAGACTCACAGTGTCTCCCTCCATCACAGGAACAGCCGGACTCTCCAGGATCACATCGCCAGCTGAACAACGAGAAGAAAAGTCAATAGTTTTCATATAAACCTTTGCTGTTATGCATGCTCCCAGTGGCTTTTTTAGTTTAGTCAGTAGTTGATAAATACCAGTGACGGTGATGTTGACGCTGTTGCTTCTTTCCCCTTTTTCATTTTCACACCAGTATTCTCCACTGTCTGATGTGAAGGCAAGGTTAATGCTAATGGCTCCTGTTGATTTTCCCCACCGGGTAGTGTTTGTGGAATCTTCCTTCAGCTTCCTCATTACTCTCCATTCAGATGAGGAATCCAACTTTTTACAATTTACAAAGATGGAGTCATATTCAAAGAACTGCAGCCTGTTTGGATTAATGTGAGGAAACGCTGCATCTGTGACAGAGACAGAGAGAGAGGGAGATCCAGAACCATTTTAAGACGCACACATACAAAATGATTTATACTGTTCTGTTCAGAAGCAAAACTATTAAATACACACAAAGGATCTGTTTGTATGCACTGAATTAAAGAACTGCTACTTACCATCTCTCTGAGCATAGCAACAGTTCTGAACATGTACAGCAAGCAACAGTAACCCTAGAGAGACAGATATTAGACCTTAATAGGAGATACAGATGATCTCATATGATTTTTGGTAAAACTTACAATTCAAATGAATAAAGCATTGCATCCAGCTATACATTTCGCTGTTGTGCTATGATTGCATTCTGGACCACAGCTAGTTCATGAAAGACCCCCAAGAAAGAAAACAAGTTTTTTTTAAATGAAGGAAGAGGGTAATACTTGCTTTAATTGAGCTATGATTTCTTTCGAACAATCAGCATATAATTTCTGATTGATTCATTTCACATATTAATACAAAGACAGAGTCAGTACTCACACAGTCTGGTGCAGAGAGATCTAGCCTCCATGTTGTCTTGCTGCTGACTGTCTGAACATCAGACTAAAATACAACTGAAGTATGAAACTAAGACCCTCCCCTTCCTGTTGAGTTTCTAAAGAGGAAGCCACAGCAGAACTATTGTATGCAGACCAAATTAAACTGAACTAGTGTGCTGTGTTTAGGCAAAAGAAAGGGCGGCTGTGGCTCAGAGGCAGAGCGGGTCGTCCACTAATCAGAAGGTTGTTGGTTTAATAAAACATATTTATGCACCTTTTAAGGTATAATGCCACACAAATTATGAAATAAATTATAATTCCTACATTTTGATGTTAATAAATATGAAACTTAATGCATAAATTTAGCAGTAAGGCTAACACAGTTCATATTTCTTTATCATTATTTTTGCTTAATAGTTGCTAAAATAGCTTTTTTAAACTGTTTTGTTTTCCTAAGCCACCTGGTTTTATTAGCAATGCTACAATTTGTGCTGAAAGTCAAACATTGTTGTGCATCAAAATAAGTTTGTTTTCATTAATAGTTGATCAATTTGATACATTTATTTATTTATTTATTTTCATATACTTTATGAATCCCCTATTGGGGAAATTCTTTTTTATTCTCACATGAGCAGTTTCTTGGGGTTAGGTTGCCTTGCTCAAGGGCACCTCGGCAGTGCACAGGAGGTGAAACTGGCACCTCTCCAGCTACCAGTCCACACTCCATATTGTGGTATGTGGGATTTGAACCAGCGACCCTCCGGTTCCAAAGCCAAGTCCCAGTCCCAGCCAAGTTGCGTACAAGCGGGCATGGTTAGGGGGTCTGCAAGGTCACAGCTGCATCCTTCTCCATCAACGTGGGGCATTGATAATAAACTAACAAACTATGATAAAATCTAAAAAATGTTTTGGTAAAGAAATTATGTTTATGTAGAAATTAAAATAATATACCAAAAGACAAACTGTAAGTGGAAGACAAGGAAGTATAAATACTAACAGAAACACATACACACAATGGGTATTACAATTTTTATGGACATGCAGGACAACAGCAAAGATACATGCATTTACTGTACAATATATTCTGCCTCTAAATGAATATTTCAGCCGTATAGCTAATATGCTCACTAAAGGAACACATATTTTATTATGAGTGGGGTCAAAGTACACAGGAGCACATGTAAGTACTTTGGCCGTTAGGCTGCGTTCATCAGGAATAAACTGGAACAGGAACACAGCGATCTACTGTAACAGGTATGTTCACTTTCAGTAACTTTTATATTTTAGGAGGCTGATCAATGCTTCTTCTGCAGTTGGAACATTGTTAACTTCCCTCCCCTCCCATTGGGTTGTCATATTTTAACTGCAACAAAACAAGATTTTTAGTCGGAGAATGTTCTGCCTTCTGAACTCAAACTGTGGAGTAAAAATTACAATTTCAAAACACTTCAAAGTATGAAACGTAGTTCGCACAGTATTATTACACTACGGAGAGCAAAACGCATTAAAGTGTAACCTTTGAAATGTCACCGGAGCCATTTTAGATTCATAAGCGTGTGAGTGTGCAAATGGCCGATGAGTAGGTTTCTGATTATGATTTATGTTAGTTTATTGTCCAGTACACATAAGACACTGGGAATGTGCTGGTAATTAACTCTTCTTTGTGGTTTTTAGAGTTTGAGTTTCTTTTTTTTCTGTCTAAAGTCAAAATCTCTTTTCTACTTATTTGAGCAGCTTTATTTTAAATTATTAATTATTATTACTACTATTATAAAGCTCAATTTAGATTTTTTTATTGTTTAATGACATATCATTTTAATTCTAATTAAGATTTTGATCACATAAACATTCTTCTTCTCCCTTTCTTTGTTACAATTCATTTTCAGAACTCCAGGATGCTTTGCCTGAAAGATGAACTGTTTGTTAAAGTTTTCCAGCACATTGTTGTCGTCCTCCTTACACACTGCTGTGGAGGTAACTTCATAACTTCTATATTGCTGCATATGACAATAAAAAGCCTTTGAACCAAAAAAAAATAGGACTGTGACATTTTTATTATGTGTAAGAACGGATGCTAGGGAGCACCATCGTTTAATATACCTGTGTCCTTCAGGTCAGTCTCTGGTTGGGGGTCCACCTCCTCCAGTAGCAGCATTAGTCGGTGAGGACATCCTCTTGCCGTGCCGCCTGGACCCTGCAGCAGATGCTGTTTCTATGATTATAGAGTGGGGGAGACCTAACCTGAAACCCAGATTTGTCCACGTGTGGCATGAAGGTCAAGATCTTCTGGTGAACCAAAACCCGTCTTACAAAGGGAGGACATCGCTGTCCACTGACAAACTGAAGCATGGAGACCTTTCACTGAGACTCTCCAAAGTAAAAGTGTCTGATGGTGGAACATACAGATGCTTCATACCAAAACTCAGCAGAGAATCGACTGTGCAACTTATTGTTGGTGAGTAAATATTCCAGTCATATAATTGACCTTTGAATGTCTTTCACATAAAAGCCACCATGTGCATTTCAGTGGTTCGCTGCAGGCTCCACTTCGGTTGTGACTTATGCAGTTTATTTGCGTAACTGAGTAAATAGGAGCCTGTTAATTTTAATATAATGGTGTAAAATATATTATTGGACTTTTACAGTCAATTACTGACTAATTGGAGAATTCAATTAGTAGCATACAAAAATAATTCTACAGTAATATGAATACAAATAACATTAATGTAGTGTGTTTTTACAGTAACCGTCACAATGTAAAAAACATTTTTAATTTTTTGTTAAATTACTGAATAGTCACAATGATTTCTTGTCATTTACCATTTTTACTGTATTGTTGTGTTATGTTGTGTAATTCCTGTAAATTTACATTATTGTGTGATAGATTAAATTACTGTAATTGTACATATAAACTGTAGATTAACAACAGACAATAACTGTCTGTAGATTTAAATATATACACAAATATTGTAATTGATCATCTTTATTGTAAATATACAGTTACAGTTATATGATCCAGATATTTCCCCCTGTAATTCCTTGTGAGCAACGATGTTGAAGGGAGACTCTTACAGCATTTGTTTCTCCTGTCACCAGGCTCTGTCTCCTCACCTGTTATAACTGGGATTAACATAAGCAGCAATGCAGGGGTTCTACAGTGTGAGTCTAAAGGCTGGTATCCAGAGCCTGAGGTGGTCTGGCTGGACGGTGAGGGAAACCTCCTCTCTGCTGGACCTACAGAGACAGTCAGAGGTCCTGATGACCTCTATACTGTCAGCAGCAGAGTGACTGTGGAGAAGAGACACAGCAACAACTTCACCTGTAGAGTCCAACAGAAGGACATCAACCACGCCTCAGAGACCTGCGTCCGTTCAACAGTTAATCCTGATTATTTCCACCTTAACACCGGTACTGTAGTTCACATTATTAGGTTACGTTAGCTGAAGCCCTATGTGTAATTCAGAATCAATACGTATGAGATGTTGTTGTCTACATAAAATTACTACTAATAACAGAGTTTATTTTATGTTTTTTTTTTTTTCTGAATTCTAAAAAAGTGGAGTCAAAGACACCCAGATTCCTTTCATATGTCAACTATTTGAGGACAAAGCCTAAGACACTCCTGAGTTCAGGGCAGCATGTCAAATTCACAATGTGCTTTATTCTATGTTTCCTTTGTTGCTTGATAATGTTAATGATGAACCCAATAATCATACATAAATTCTTTGACAGAGACCTGGAAAACATCATGTTATATAAAAGGCATGTAAAATAATATTGTAATATGTAATGTAATGTCAACAATGGACCTTTAAACTCAATAAATAACAGTTTATTTCCATCTTTGAAGAGCTCTTTCTTTGACTGCATCACTTTTGAATGATCATTTCTTTTTAAGGGAATTATCTTCTCCCTGCTTTAACCTGAAAATGCAAGTTGGGGGACTTTTTGTAAGCAATTTTTGGGTATTGGGTTGAGTGCGCCAAGAAAGGAAGGGCGGCTTACATGTTGGCTCAGAGAAACAAAAGCAAAAACAGTTTGGATTTTGACAGCAGCTTCTTTTCTTTCTCTCTCAAATTTAAAGGGCTTTATTAGCATGAACAAAAACATGTTCTCTCTCTCTCTCTCTCTCTCTCTCTCTCTCTCTCTCTGTCTCTCTCTCTCTGTCTCTCTCTGTTTCTCTATAGTCCTCAAATGTTGGCAATGTGCAGGCCCAACAATATAAATTTAGCTGAAGCTACAGTATGAACATTAAGGAAGTTAATTTTAATAATTGTTTTAAATTCATAAACATATTTACGCACCTTTTAAGGTATAATGCCACACAAATTATGAAATAAATTATAATTCCTACATTTTGATGTTAATATGAAACTTAATGCATAAATGTAGTTTTAGCAGTAAGGCTAACACAGTTCATATTTCTTTATCATTATTTTTTCTTAATAGTTGCTAAAATAGCTTTTTGAAACTGTTTTGTTTCCCAAAGCCACCTGGTTTTATTAGCAGTGCAACAATTTGTGCTGAAAGTCAAACATTGTTGTGCATCAAAACAAGTTTGTTTTCATTATTTTTGTTAATAGTTGATCAATTTGATACATTTATTATTGTTATTATTATTATTATTATTATTATTATTATTATTATTATTATTATTATTATTATTATTTTCATATACTTTATTAATCCCCTATTGGGGAAATTATTTTTTATTCTCACATGAGCAGTTTCTTGGGGTTAGGTTGCCTTGCTCAAGGGAACCTCGGCAGTGCACAGGAGGTGAAACTGGCACCTCTCCAGCTACCAGTCCACACTTCATATTGTGGTCTGTGGGATTTGAACCGGCGACCCTCCGGTTCCAAAGCCAAGTCCCAGTTCCAACCAAGTTGTGTACACATTGCATGGTTAGGGGGGTCTGCAAGGTCACAGCTGCATCCTTCTCCATCAACGTGGGGCATTGAGAATAAACTAACAAACTATGATAAAATCTAAAAAATGTTTTGGTAAAGAAATTATGTTTATGTAGAAATTAAAATAATATACCAAAAGACAAACTGTAAGTGGAAGACAAATGAGTATAAATACTAACAGAAACACATACACACAATTGGTATTACAATTTTTATGGACATGCAGGACAACAGCAAAGATACATGCATTTACTGTACAATATATTCTGCCTCTAAATGAATATTTCAGCCGTATAGCTAATATGCTCACTAAAGGAACACATATTTTATTATGAGTGGGGTCAAAGTACACAGGAGCACATGTGAGGACTTTGGCCGTTAGGCTGCGTTCATCAGGAATAAACTGGAACAGGAACACAGCGATCTACTGTAACAGGTATGTTCACTTTCAGTAACTTTTATATTTTAGGGAGCTGATCAATGCTGCTTCTGCAGTTGCAACATTGTTATCTTCCCTCCTCTCCCATTGGGTTGTCGTATTTTAACTGCAACAAAACAAGATTTTTAGTCGGAGAATGTTCTGTGTTTGGGAACTCAAAACTGTGGAGTAAAAATTACAATTTCAAAACACTGAGAAAACGCTTCAAATTAGAAATATATATATTTATTAAAAGTATGAAACGTAGTTCCCACAGTATTATTACACTACGGAGAGCAAAACGCATTAAAGTGTAACCTTTGAAATGTCGCTGGAGCCATTTTAGATTCATAAGCGTGTGAGTGTGCAAATGGCCGATGAGTAGGTTTCTGATTATGATGTATGTTAGTTTATTGTCCAGTACACATAAGACACTGGGAATGTGCTGGTAATTAACTCTTCTTTGTGGTTTTTGGAGTTTGAGTTTCTTTTTTCTGTCTAAAGTCAAAATCTCTTTTCTACTTATTTGAGCAGTTTTATTTTATATTATTAATTATTATTATTACTATTATAAAGCTCAATTTAGATTTTTTTATTGTTTAATGACATATCATTTTAATTCTAATTAAGATTTTGATCACATAAACATTCACGTTTTCATGTTTTATGGCTTTTTTTATTACAGGCACAAAATGTAGGAAGACATAAATAATAGTTGCTGATCCACTGCAGAATACATTGTGCCTTAAATTGAATGTCCAGGGAAAGCAGGTATAAAATATGTGGTGCTGTGTACACTGTTTTATTATCCCCAAGTGTACACAATCCAACAATCCATATAAGGCTGAATTTAAAAGTTACACAGCACTGAGGCAAACTGCCATCAGGCCTTCAGTCATTGTTCAGGGTTCACACAACCCACTATTTTATTTTACATATGTTCTATGGATGTGTCTTCATGAGTCATGGCAATGAAACAAACATAAATTGAAAAATAAATGGACTGTACATATATAGTGCTTGACACTACATGCCACGTTCACCCACTCACGCATTCATAAACTGGCAGACGCTCATAATTAATTCACACACAAAGGGCCAATCCCCTAGAGAGAGGTTTTATTGTTACATGAACTTCCCAATCATAAATGGGGTGTGTTTCAGTTTAGAGTATAATATTTTATATGATAGGTACTCAGATAACAGCCAGCTGGTACAAAGTACAACGTACAGCTGTTAAAATACAAGTAATTTAGCATTAAAATTATGAATAAATAAAAAAAGTGAAGCAGTATTCATCAATGAATGTTGATAATCATCCTAAAACTAAATTTATATTCATCTTTGGATTAATTTTCATGACATGAATGTGCCTGTAATCAGCAAGAAAACACGAAGTGAACACACCTTAATCACAGGGTTACAAATTATTATATTATAGGGCCGTGCTCCTTACTCTTACTCTGTGGTGACACGATTGTTCAAGGCACATCAGGTATGTGGGCTTCTGAAAAATCTGTTCTTGTAATATTTTACAAGATATGATATTTTAGTTTAGTTTATAACATTCTATTCTTGCAAGTTTTTTTTATACTTTGCAGTCACGTGGTTACCATGGTTACCTGGCGGGCAAGAAACATATATATTTTCATATATCCGTAAAAAATGAAAGTCTACAAAAGTACAGATAGCTATCTTTCTTCAAGAGTGGATGGGTTAACAACGCTGTCGTATGGGAGGTGAACATCACCTAACGTTTGCGAATGTTTGCATGTTTGAAGCTCTACACAAAGTGACATCTGAAGTCTTTATCTGAATATGTACACCCTGCCTGCCGCCAATGACAGCTTGATAAGTAACGTTAGTTTAAAAAACCTTATGCCAACCAGACTGTATCATATATGGCTAACAGGATGTCAAACATTGTAGCCTACCTGCTCATCCACTCCACATAGCATCAGACAACAGACAAGAGCAGCTGGAGCAGTGAAATGTCTTTAATCCTGTTAGTAATCTGTTAGGTTGTAACGTTAATGTAGTAGTAATAACTGTACCATAGTAACGTTATGTATGCAAAGTAACTGTAAGTAAGTAGACGCAGTACAACAGTAACATGTATTCTTCTTCTCATCAAATCAAATCACGTACATATGATATATATATATATATACTTCTCTACAGTAAAACTGGCGACGTCCTGGTGAGATCCTTGATTAGTTTACTGGGTTCCGTTGCTGGAGAACGATGTTCTTGCCCGCCAGCTAGTAGCTGTGACGTCACGTGCAAAGTATGAATAGTGAGACAAAAGCAAATCTTACTACAGAAGAAAGCATTTTCTCTACAAAGTATGTTTGTATGACTAACAGCACTTAATAATAATAATACATATTTAATATTGTGTTGGAAATGCTTATGTGTGTTAATACTATGACCCATCCCTAAAATCATTTCCAATATTTTCGTGGCAGAATGGAACAATGTCTTTTGTAACAGCGTGAGCTTTCGATGCACGTTTGGATCAATACATTAAAGTGTCGTTGCTGGAGTCAGTCTGCTGTGTGAACTTGATCTTTTATTTCATTTTGATATATCTATGCTTGATGAAATAAAGAGTAATTTCAATTTTAAAAATTGAGGTAGAATTATTTAAAGGCTGAACTTTTCATGTTAGAGGGATTTGGGGCTTTATTTCCACAGAGGTCTGAACCAACACTGTAATTTATCTGTTACACTTATTTGATACTCACCTAATGGTTGACAAGATATTTTTGTATTTAGTTAACACTGATTGTAGATTGTAGCCCCTTCAGAATGCTTTTTACTTTGATTGCACAACTATGTTATCTCTGTTTTCAGAAGACCAGGATGTGGATACTGAAGCGGAGGATGTCAAATAAATTCCTTTTCGGAGGAGGAATTACTGTCATTTTACTAATAATATTCTGTTGTTCAGGTAATGTACAAAACACAAAAAACACATCAGTAACACACTGGTGTTTCACCACACCATTGTCATCATTAATATATGGACACCCACACACAGCACCTAAAGACATGCACTGATTGTGGAGAGATGTCTGTGTGATGGGGCTGTCACATATTCAGGTGCCTCAGCAGTTAGAGCTTCAGTGCCTTGCTCAAGGGCACTTCAAAAATTTCTATGGTTCATGCTGGACTTAAGTCGACCGCCGGCTAGTTCCCAAGCCAAGTCTTGCAGATTATGTGTGTGTGTGTGTGCTGTGTGTGTGTGCATGTACACACAGAGATGGCGTATTAAGAATTAGCATCCGCTATAAACTCTGTGATATAAATTTGATATGAGGAGGATGGTGAAGATTTGTGGTCATATCTTATTTTTTTCCACCAGGATTAGTGACGAGTTCATCAGAAACAGATGAAGCTCAGTACACTGAGAGACAGCATGCAGGAAGAGATACATGTTCTGCTTTATTCTTATGGATTGCAAGATGTCTGATAATTTCATCAATATGCAAAATGTTTAAGCTGTACCGCCT